ATTGAAGCATGTCTTCTGGCCTGGTTTGAAAAATGATGTTTCAAGATACTGCCACTCATGTCATACATGTCAGTTGGTTGGGAAACCAAACCAAGTGATCCCACAGGATCCACTTCATCCTATACCTGTGATGGATGAGCCATTTGAGAGACTCGTAAAACATCAGGTCTCTAGCGTCTACCACCCAGAAAGCCACCAAACCTTTAAGACTATGTTGCGTGCTTTTTGTCTTGAAACTGGTAAGGAATGGGACGAAGGTATACCATTCCTGCTTTTTGCTATTCGAGAGACTGTTCAGGAGTCATTGGGTTTGAGTCCTGCAGAACTGGTATTTGGCCACACAGTTCGTGGACCGTTGAAGTTGGCAGTCCCACGTGGAAACCTTGTCTGTTGTGTTTCAGTGTCTGCAAGATGCTTCCCTCACACTGAATCTGGCACAATGTGAGTTTGCCAATGCTACCATCACTTATCTTGGCAAAAAGGTTGGTCAGGGTCAAGTGCGGCCAGTAGAAGCCAAAATAACAGCTATCGCTGAGTTCCCTGTTCCCGCCACTAAGCGGGAACTGTGTCGCTTTCTTGGACTAGCTGGTTATTATAGAGGGTTCTGGCGTAACTTTGTTGCCATTGTGTCTCCTTTGACTGACCTCCTTAGTCCCACCAAGGATTTGTTTTGGGACACCAAGTGTGAGCTGGCTTTTCAGTCCGTAAAAGCGGTTCTCAGCTCTTCTTCATAGCACTATTGAAAAACACGCTTTAGCCATGCTTTGGGCCCTCCAACATTTTAAGGGTTATGTTGGCTCAACACCACAGCTGGTGTTGGTTTCACTGATCACAACCCTCGAGTCTTCCTGAACTGAATGTACAACAACAACCAACAGTTCATGCGGTGGGCTTTTATGGCCCAAAACTTTAATATAGAGATTCGGCACAAGAAGGGGTGTGATAATGTTGTGACCAATGCCCTCTCATGTATAACCTAGGATGTCGACCTTAAGGGAGGGGGTGTTACGTGTCATTGTATACTTTTGCTCTCCCTTTGCATGTGTGTCTGTTATGTCTCTGTGTTCAAGGTACAGTTTCCTGAGTGATGATCGAGGGCACTTGCATGAAGCTGTGGGTGTGACCTATATAAGTGGATCCTTTCACCGCCCTCACTCTCTCAACTCCCTCACACAAGATCCCAGCCTTTGTTTGTGTTGCCCTTCTTTTGTTTTGTTGTAAATAAATGTTATTTCTTTGCATCGTACCTAGTACGCTGTCCCTTAATGCGTTGTGACTTTGAGCCGGTCGTAACACTATGTTAATTGTTATGCACCAATATACCAAGGCAAGTTCCTTGTATGTATATAAACTTGCTTAGCAAAAGATATTATTTTGAAAAACCAAAACAAAATGGTCAGGGTTAACCCTAGTTAGAATTTAGTGAATAAAAAAAATGTGTCTAACTTTAAATAAACAAAGAGCAAGTGTTTTTTTTTTACTTCTGAACTGTTGATTAATGGCTATGAATAGACTGCCTGTTTATTTAGATTCAGTAAATGCTTGAGTGAACATCAGAGGCAACAGAAATGCCACCAAACTGGATACTTCCCTTACATCAGCAGCAGCTTGATTTCCTGCACCGGTATCACAAACAAGAGAAACATTTGAAAGCTGTCAACTAACAACTTCAGAGTGCAGATCACATACTCAACATGCTTGACTTTAAGCCAAGAACGAAAACAAACACAGTACTAAGAGCTCTCTGGAGCCACACAATGTGTAACATTAATTAACAAATTCCCATGATCCTTTGATGATACATTAGAGGATAAGACAGCTTAACCACTGGGTTTTATCAGCAGAGGGTCCTGTCAAGGTTCAAGAGGAAATGTGATCCATGACAGTTAGAACAACTTATGTTTTCTATTTGAAGAAAAAAAAAAACTAATTTCTGCCCATCACACACCACACTCTCAAAGATATCTACAGCCTTGTAAGAGAAAATGTAATTTGTGACAGTTTGTCCTGGTTATTAGTTATAAAGACAAATGGAGAAGAAGATTAGAGGGAAAAAACAGAATTAGAAGAGGAATACATGGTATTATTATGGGCTGTGACAAGAACACAACAGTTTAATTGTATCTCCTTTGTCAGAGGTAATCAGTGTTACAATCTGCATCAAACTCAGAGGGAAGGCAGGTGCAGATTTCTTACCAAACATTTTCCTGCACTCTTGCAATATATGAGGAAGTAATGTAAATTAAAAGTAAAAACATGTCAAACTGGTTTTGTTTTGTTTTTTAATAAGGAAATATGTACTTTTCCATCACAGAAGGAGATAAAAATAGAAAGACAAAGCAAAAACATCATGTGTTTGTCATATGTGCCTGACTATGGCCACTGTAACTGCTCATCTTTGTGCAGCTGTCACAGCTATATTATTAGTATTAGTAGTAGTAGTAGTAGTAGTAGTAGTAGTAATAATAATAGTAGTAGTAGTAGTAGTAGTAGTAGTATTTCTTCTTCAGGTGAGGAATTGCATCATGTCTAATGGGTTAAACTCTCTGTGTCATATGTCATGCTGTGCTTTGGACTTTAGCAACAGACAAGCAGAGACAAAGAGCTTTAGTGGAAGCAGGCAGGAACAAGTTACAGAGACTCAAACAGTTAACACAGAACCAGAAAATGACATAAAAATATAAATATTCTCTAATCATACAAATAATATTTGTGGCCGTTAGGTTGAATCTATATTGGTTAAAGTTAAGGCATTAGTTAAACTTTAGGGATTCACTCGCAGGTGAACACGCCTCTATATATACTCAGAGAATGTAAATACACAACCAGGAAACATTTTGCAGCGAAACAAAAGCACAAAACCAACTGACTCCTCTCAGATCTGAAGCTCTGCTCTGTGAACAAGATGGAGAGGATAATGATGCTGCTGCTCTTCTGTCATGTGTCATCTGCAGGTAAGAGCACAACACACACTAGGAGGTTGGATCTGCCACAAACAATTATATTCATAAATTTAATTTGTACTTCACTGCACAGTTGATAGGGATTTGCCTAAGTGCTGCTCCAAAAAACAGACACAAGCAAAGACAAGACAAAACTCATACATATACATACCCCTGGTGGAAATTGTAAAATGTGGACCATTCTATAAAATTAACATGAGTGAGTGAAGCCAAAAACATTTATATGTTTTTTAGTGGGCATCAAATTAAACTATAAGGAATATTAATACTGTGTGTTGCCCCTTTTAACAGCTTGTAGTCTTTTGTGATAGTTGTTGATGAGGTCCTTTATTTTCTGGAAAAAAGCAAAAAGCCTCCAGGTCCTGTAAATTCTTGGGTTGTCTTGCATTAACTGCACATTTGAGATCTCCCTAAAGTAACCTATTATGAAGAAAACTATATATTATTCTATCACTAGTTTTGGCCCGTTCTGATTGAAACAGAAATCTCTTTTGTTCAGGAAAGTGATAACTATTCAAACTAAATAATGCAGCAAATAAATTTACATCACTTAAACCTTGTTTGTCCTGCAGTGAAACACTCCCTGAAGATGTTCTACACTGCATCTTCTGGAGTCCCAGACTTCCCAGAGCTTGTCGGAGCTGCGGTGGTTGATGGAATTCTGGCAATTTACTGTGACACCAACAAACAGATAGTAGAGCCGAAACAGGACTGGATGAGAAAAATATTCGAAAACGATCCTCAGCACTTGAAGTTGTACAATGGAGACTGTTTTGAATATCAGCCAAACTTATTGAAAGTCAAGATGTACAGTTTGAAGCAGCACAGCAACCAAAGTATAGTCCACTTTTCAGACTGTTCTGTGTCTTGATGTAAAGTATCCTCTAAAGCAGTGGTTCCCAACCTTTTTCATTAAGGGACCCCTTCGCTATCATTCAGTAAACTGATGACCCCTGACTGATGAACTATACGATGAACTCAAATATGAATGAATGTTATAGTTATAGCGAACTATTTCCTGTGAATATTGTATCAGAGTTTTAATTTACTGATATTTTTATAAACTTTTTATACAGTTCACTACATTTTCTTCACAGAAAGGCCTTCTGTATATATTTTTTAAGTTTTCTTACACCACTAGAAATCAAAAAGGCCCCTAATAATCAAAAAGGTCCCTAAAAATCAAGAAGGCCTTACAAACCCCTGTGAAGTTTTGGCAACCATTAATGAGCGTCCTGTCCCCCAGATTGGGAACCACTGCTCTACAGTCCTCGATATAACAATGATATCACACTATAACATTATTTTACACTTTTAAATAGCAATTAATGCAATATTTGTAAGATCATCTTTCCACTGGAGATGCCATCTGTCCATCATTATGCAGTCTCTGTTTCTGTCTCTCTCAGGTGTCCACATTTTACAGAGGATGCATGGCTGTGAGTGGGATGATGAGACTGGAGAAGTTAATGGTTTTGGTCAGTATGGCTATAATGGAATGGACTTTGTATCGTTTGACCTGAAGACATTGATGTGGATCGCTCCGAAACCACAGGATGTTACCACCAATCTGATGCAGGATGCTAAAAAAACTGGAATAAAATACTGTCAGAATTACATCACTCATATTTGTCCTGAGTTGCTGAAGAAGTATTTGGACTATGGCAACAGCTGGCTGCAGAAATCAGGTACCCATGACCTGATGTAGTTTTATGTGTTTCTGTGTCAGTTCATTGTTCTTTGTACCAGTGGTTCTTCCTATTCCTGTTGTACCAATTAGAGACTGACGTCTTTGGGTGCTCTAACATTACTTTCTGTCAAAGCTGACACTGCTGTGTGTCATCCCCTCTCTCCACCTTTTCTTATCTTGAGCTGTCCTATCAAGTAAAAGGAAAAAGCCCCCAACTTATCAGCTCTCTCCGTCTCTCTGCTCTCTGTCTCTCTCTCTCTCTCTCTCTCTCTCTCTCTCTCTCTCTCTCTCTGTCTCTCTCTCTCTCTCTCTCTCCTTCTCTCTCTCTCCTTCTCTCTCTCTCCCAGAGCTTCCCTCAGTGTCTCTCCTCCAGAAGACTCCCTCCTCTCCAGTCAGCTGCCATGCTACAGGTTTCTACCCTGACAGTGCCTTGATGTTCTGGAGGAAAGATGGAGAGGAGATTCATGAGGACGTGGACCACGGAGAGATCCTCCCCAACCACGATGGATCCTTCCAGATGAGTGTTGACCTGAACCTTTCATCAGTCACACCTGAAGACTGGAGGAGGTACGACTGTGTGTTTCAGCTCTCTGGTGTGAAGAACGACATCGTCACCAGACTGGATAAAGCAATGATCAGGACCAATGAAGGTAAGACTCGGATTAAAAGGTCGACCAATCCAAAGTGTACACCTTCTGACATAACAAAATGCAATCACTGGCATTAAATCCCTGTCAATAAGTAAAACACCTCTGATTAATATTGATTTGGATCTTCGAAAGTTTTGAACGTCACATTGGAAACATAACTCAAAATGTATTTTATCGTCATAAATTTTTTGCCAGAGTGCAGCCATTTTTTTCTCAAGCCTCTGCTCTCCTCAAGAAGAATATACAGTAGCTTAGTTACAACATCTGCATGTGTGCTGACGAGTTCCAGAAAGAGACCACACATTACACCAAAAGTCTCTGCATTGGCTACCTTATTATTATTTTATTTTTATTTACTTATTCATTTGTAGATCTATATCTGTTTTCTATTAAGTGCTGTAAAAAAAATCAGGCCTGAATGATTGATTAATTGAAATATAATATTCATGGGTAAAATTCATGAATATATGAATAACAGTTTTATATTTACGGTTGCTGCGGGTTGCCTAACATGGAGTCCACTATGTTGAACCACCATGTTTCTACAGTAGCGCAGAACAGAAGAATTAAAAATTGGCGGTAGACAGCGTCTTTTTCAAGAGTTTTCACGAGTTTTGTGGCAGCCATAGTTTCTCATAAACACTAGGTTGTCAACCCAGGTTGTCAAATACACCAGCTGTGTTCAGTTAGGTGAAAGATGAAACTTAACCACTAGATGCCACTAAATCCTAAACACTGGTCATTTAACTCAAGACAGTTTTAGTTCACAGCAACAATTCTATATGTATCTATGAATAAATCATTGGATGGATGGCTATTCTTTGGTTCTGACCTGTTTTTCTGTACCAGACTTTTGTTTACCGGAGAAGCCCAGACACATGACTGTACCTGTCAGAGCTGCAGTGGTTGTTCTTGCTCTCATCCTCTTCACTGTCATTGGATTCATTGCCTACAAAAGGAAGAAAGGTGACAAAGGAAAAAGTTTATGATTTTCTGCTTAATTTACTTTTTCAGTACTTTGATTTGTCTTTGAGTTCATGATTTTATCCGGGTTGCAAAATTGAAACAAGCATCGGTTCCCTGCACCCCACAATCTGAATACAACCAACAGTAAGCAGTGTAAGACTCAGAGCCTGTGAGTCATTATAATACGACTATACTATGATGATGTGGGAGAGAAGTGATGAGAAAAGAAATAAAGAAAGACGTGTGAGTGAGTAGAAGAGGAGATCATATTCACTGGGTATAAGGTGATAAAATATATTCTGACATTAACTGAAATTATTTGTCTTTTGTTTTTATTTCAGCCAAATGCCCTCCATCTTGTAAGTAAATGTTTCTTTTATTCTATTCTGACTGATCTTACACACACTCTCTGCTGTAGATTAAACATGGTTGAACATTATTATGCAGACAAACCTTTCTGTCTGAATGTTTCCTGTGTTTACTGCTCATGAAAGTAAAATGCAGGATGAGTTTCACACTGTTTGTTTCTGACCTTGCAGCTCCTGACAGCGTCTCTGAGCTCTCTGAGAAACTGAATCCTGAGACCTGAGTGCACTCAATGAGTTTCTCACATCATAGTTTGACAGAACTAAAAGAGACTAAATGATGGTTTCCTGCAAGTAAAGTGAAGTAGTAGTTATGATTTATGTGCTTGATGTGTAAATGTTGAATGTAAATGTTTATTTCACTTTTCAGTGATATATTTCCCACTTTGATAACACTTTATAATGAGTACACACTATTAAGCATTAGTTAAGCATTAATAAATACTGAATTCATCATTTATAACGCATGAATACACATTAAGTATTTTGCGCAAGCTCATCTAAAGTGAGCACTATCTATGGCTTATTAAGCATTTACAAATGAGATATAAAGGCTGGAAATGCCTCAAGACTCACAAAATGCATCACAGATATAAAACAGTGGCTGTCACAGAACTTTTTGCACTTAAATGACAGCAAAACTGAATGCATTTTGTTTGGTTCACCAGCTAAGTCGAATGCTCTCACCACAAATTCTGGCACTCTGGCCCCTCTTTTTAAATCACATGTCAAAAATCTTGGGGTAACATTTGATACTGGGCTCAAATTTGACAAACAGATTAGCTCGGTTGTCAGTACGAGCTTTTTTCAGCTCCGTCTTTTGGCCAAAGTGAAGTCTTTTCTCAGTCGGCAGGATCTTGAGAAGGCAATCCATGCTTTTATCAGCTCAAGACTGGACTACTGTAATGCCCTTTACGTCGGCCTCAGTCAGTCCTCAATTTCTCGTCTCCAACTTGTGCAGAACGCTGCTGCCCGATTTTTAACTAACACGTCCAGACGCGAACATATTACTCCTGTGCTGTCATCACTCCACTGGCTTCCAGTCCGTTTTAGAATTGATTTTAAACTTTTGTTGTTTGTTTTTAACACCATTAACGGCTCTGCCCCCTCTTACTTGTCAGAGATTTTAACTTTTCGCAATTGTGGCAGAGCCTTGCGCTCTTCAGGTCAGCTTCTGTTAGAAGTCCCTAGGTCCAGACTTAAACAGTGGGGCGATCGTTCTTTTGCTGTCGCTGCTCCTAGACTGTGGAACAAACTGCCCCCCTGACATTCGTACCACTACTGATCTCGGCCTTTTTAAATCAAAGCTTAAGACCCACTTTTTTAGATTAGCTTTTAATTCTGAATAGGACAGTACTGTCTCTTAGGTGTACTCTTTTTATCTGCTCCTTTCTGTGCATTTCTGGAAGGCTTTTAATACCCTGCAGTGCTGCAGCACTTTAAATTGTATTTGTATGTTATATATGTGTTATGTACTGTTTCATGGCTCTGTTGTAAAGCACTTTGGGTACCTTTCGGCTATTGTAAAGGGCTATACAAATAAACTTGATTTGATTTGATTTGATTTGAAAATGTTCAGTTATCTTAAGAGACGAAGGGATATAGAACTTATTGTATTGATATTTATTGCAACTTCCCAACATATTGTATAAAGACGAACAAGGCTGGTTTATGAAGACATGCTATTGTTGTGATCTTATCGTTGATGGCGTGCTGACAGCAGGATTGCAAGCTCAATGTACACGTCCGCAAAATACTTAATTAACGAGTAGTAAGTGCTTTGTAACTGCCTCAATTCATGAATTCCTGCATTGATAACTGTTTATAGGCCATCATTAGAAAAATAAGTTGTGAGTTTTTATAGAACATCTGTTAACACAGTCACTAATCATTAATACATGTCTGAATGGTGAATTTGCAAGTGCATGCAGAAATGTACAGTACAATGAAGAGTAAAACATTTATAACTGTGATTATAAACCACATAGTAATGACTATTTACAGCAGAATCATGCTTTATAAATGATGAATTCAGTATTTACTAATCCATAACTAAACTACATACTAATGTGTATTCATTTGTTATAAATTATGAATTCAGTATTTATTCATGCTTAACTAATGCTTAATAGTGTGTACTCATTATAAAGTGTTACCCATACGGTAAATTAGGTTTTGAAACATTTCAAACAATGGGTTTTTGAATAAGTACTCAAATAATAGGTTTCTGTAAACATGTACACACTGAATATAATACTCAAAATCACCTCTTGTGATGGATTATTGAAGCCATGTTCTTCAAGGAGGGACATATGAAGGATGAAGGACATAATTCATATAAAGTTCCTCATACCACAGGGATTGCTAACTAAGTAAGACTAGTGGAACCAGATAGACAGTGATGGTGGTTGGACTACTGAGCGGGCCATCACATTCACATGAAGTTGCTTATCAAGTCATTTGGGCCAACCAATGTAAATGAGCCTGAGATGATAGAATATAAAAGCTTAAAGTTACTTTAGGTCAGTTAGAGAATGATGTGGGTCAGAGGCGTCAGTAGATTAATGACGGCACAGCTTGATACCCACTGCAGGGTCTAATGATAGGTGAAAACATTTAACATGAATACTGTCCTTCCATAGGAATATTTACCCAGCTGTTGGCAAATTAATGTTAAAAACGAATGTAATGCTTTTACTTTTGTGCTGATGTTTCACTTCACTATAAAATACAGAATTTTATGTTTAAAAGTTTGGTTATTTTTGACCAAATCTGTGACTGTAATTGCAGTTACATGAATATTAGCTCAGCTTTCTGTATACTCACAGAGGACTTGGATGAGATCTCAGAACAGAGTTTGCTCCCAGACAAGGTTAGCTTGGCTTAGCATCAGTTTGAGGGAGGAAACAGATCTCTGGCCTCACATACAAATGGATCTAAGTGGACTCTGATCTGGTTACAGATTTGATTTTGAATCGAAAATACTAAATTGGTGACATATTGTGCATAATATAATATATAATAACAATAATATCAGTAATATTAACAATGGCAATCTAGCAGGACCATGGCAGAAGGCTCCACCAGGATCCATGAGAACCTGCGAGACGAGAAAGCACAAGAACTCCAGGGAAGAAGTTAAGTTAGTAATGTGAATTAATGGGACATGAATGAGTGCAGAAAGAGAGAGAGAGAGAGGAAGAGAGGAGCTCAGTGCACCATGGGAAATCCCCCGATAGTCTAGGCTTATAGCAGCATAACTAAGGGATGGTTCAGGACTCACCTGATCCAGCCCTAACTATAAGCTTTATCAAAGAGGAACGTCTTAAGCCTACTCTTGAATGTGGCGAGGGTGTCTGCCTCCCGAACCACAACTGGAAGCTGGTTCCACAGGAGAGGAGCTTGGTAACTGAAGGCTCTGGCTCATGT